AATAAATAAAGCTTTAAAAAAAAAAGATTTATTTATGCATAAAAGGATGGGGGTCTAGGCCAGAGGTGTGGGTGTTCAAGGATTCACCAGAACAGCAGTCCTTCTGCCCATCTGCACCTATGCAGGTGCTCCTTTTTGCCAACTCTCTGTTCCTCTGCAGGGCAGCAGCAGCCTCCTGCCTGCTGGTAATCTGTTTCATGCTGGGACTTCTCTATACTGACCTCCCTCAGCAGAGGCAGCTCTCCAAAGGCCACCTGCCTGTGACCATGCAGGCCTCTCTCTTAGCAAACATTTAGGGGCAACCCTTTCTGCCCGTTTATATCTGTGCAAGTGTCCTTTATTCTTCTCTTTTATAATAAACCTGCCCTTTTGAATATTAAAAAAAAAAAAAGAACAGGTGGATCTACTGAAACATGCTGCTGAAGGGAGCAGAAGGCGAGACAGGAGAAGTCTGCTGTGGCTTAGCTCCCTGGCTGGGGTTTGTACTCATGCTGCGGATAGCTTGTTAGCTGGAGATAGCTTGTTAGCGCTGAGACTTTTAACCCCTATGCTACCAAGGAGGTCCCAGATTTCAGTTCTTATTGGTCCTTTTCATAAAAGCTTTCAATCACGGGTCTCCTGGGTGGCCTAGGGGTTGAGTTTCAGTGCGATCAAGCTATCACTACTACGGCCTGAGTTCAATCCCCAGTCAGGCTGCTGACCCACGTGTGGTGCAACAGACCTTTCCGGTCTGCCTGCTGTTCCCCTCAGCAATGTGTTTCAGTAGTTCTGCCTGTTCTGCTCCTGACTCTATCTCTGGTGAATCTTCTCACTGCACCTGCATCTCCGGCCTGTACCCCATTTCTGTATGCATAAATAAATAAATAAATCTTAAAAAAAATAAAGTTTTCAATCATAACTATTAATATTTAATGGGTGCTAACTAAGTGCCAGGTACTACGCCACATATCACAGGGGTTAATCAACTGAATGCTCTGGGGTTTATGGGGTAGGAAGGTCATAACAATAGTTTGTTCTATAGACAGGAATGCTGGGGTACTGAAGGCTCAGAGGACTTAGGTGGCTGGCGCAGGACGCCACAGCCAGGCAGTGTGGAGAGGCTGAGTTATCTGTGTCTCTTTCTAGGCCCTTGGCTGGGCAGTGCTGTTTCACTTTGGGTGAGAAAACCAAGGTGGAGAACAGCAAAACAAGTTAGTCACGATTTTTCATCTTATTAACTTGTGTACTCTGACCTTGGATCTGACCTCCAAGATGCTTCCCATGAAATGGCTTGAAGGAGCTTCCTGTGCCCCAGAAGGTTGACAACCCCAAGTGCCCCTTACAAAGGAGTCAGGGTGCCTAAGTGGAGGTGCCCAGGCACTGTGATGTCCTTCTCTGCATAGACCACTTACCAGGTGCTGCGATCCTGATCCCGTGAACATCGGTCAGCTCCTGTCCTGGGCGCTCCTCAATGACAATCTCCTGGCCTGAGTCTAAGTGGAGGTCACATGAGGAGCTGGGGGCAGCCACATAGAAGGGGATGCCATGGTGCTTGGCTAGAATGGCCAACTGGTAGGTGCCCACCTTGTTGGCTGTGTCACCATTGGCAACCACACGATCCGCTCCCACTACGACAGCTGGGAAAAGAGATATTGAGATGTCACACTGAGTGTCCTGACCTGGCCCTAGCCACCTGCAGCCATGCCTGCCCAAGCCCCCTCTGACCTGACACGCCCCGGTGGGCCATGGCAGCAGCCGCCATACTGTCGGCAATAAGGGTGGCAGGGATCTGCTCATAGACCAGCTCAAAGGCCGTCAGTCGGGCTCCCTGGTTGTAAGGCCGGGTCTCTGTGCAGAAAGCGTGCTTCAGACGGCCTAGCTTGTGCAAAGAGCGGATCACACCTGCAGGTGCAGCCCAGCAGAAGAAAGCCAGGATGAGATGGAAAGGGGCAGGGCTGCCTAGGGACTAGGGGCTCCAAAGGCTCATCGGGCAGTCCCATCCCTTGATCCTTGCAGTGGCTGTTTCCTCTGCCTGGGACGTATGTTTACAGAGAACACTTCCTCTGATCTTGACCTCTTTAGCAACCCCACCTGTTAGCTTCTTCCCTGTTCTTTCTCCTTGGCATCTGCCACCTCTTAAAGCATCAAAGGTGTTTATTAAGACTTGTTTGTGTCTGTTTCTCCTACTTTTCTGTTCCACCTGAGGATTGATGTTCTGTTTACTTTGTTCACTGTGGAATCCTCAGTGCCTAGAACTGTGACTGGCATACAGCACATGCTTAATAAATGTTGAATAAATGGGGGGCACTCCCTTCCCCTCAGTCTTCTTGGAATCCACAAAGCTTAGGTTGGGCTTATCAAATGATCGGCCTGGCATGGACAGGTGACTTCCCTCAAGACTCTAAAATAAAAGGAGGAGGAGACTTTCCTGGCACTGCTAACATAGAGACCCTTTGCCCTGCTCCTTATAATCTTAATTCTGGCAGTGCCCATGCCAATCTGTGGAGTCTGAGGATGATGCCACCATGGAGGTTGGGAAGGACAGGGGTAGATGGGTTCTGATGTGAGTCTTTTGACATTTGAATGCAACCATACTTGAAGTCAGACTATTGAGCATTTCTGTAAGTTCACATTTTTCAGGTAGGTAAAGTGGTAATTTGAGTTTCTTTTTCCATCTATAAAGGGCCCTTCCCTATCTCCACTTACCCAGTGCTGTGCCATAGCCAGCAGTGGCCAGTGCACCAGTGTTACAGTGAGTCAGTACGGTCACCTTGCCGCCCTCCGGGGCCACCAGGTCCAGGAGGTGGCGAGCTCCCAGGTCCCCAATGCGCCGATTGTCTCTGAGGTCTTTCTCCAGCATGTCCTCAGCACAGCGGATCACCCTGAGGCCAAGGTGGGGATTTTAGTACCAGCCACCAGGCATGAGAGCCCAACCTGCCCTCTCCTCCTGACCCAGGGATGCTGTGCAGGATCTCTCCTGCTCCGTTATCACCTGTCACTTCATTTGCATGAGACACACATTTACCTCTTGTGCGCCAGGCGTTGGGGGATAAAGCTGTGAACAAGATAAAGTCTCTGCCCCTGTGGCGCTGACACAAATGGAGAAGCAGATGATGAGCAGATTAAGTGAAGAAAAAGGCATCAGTCAGGAAAGAGACAGCAGGGGATGTACTTTATTATGTGAGAAATGGCTTAGGCAGAACCTAAAACCTGATTCAGGAGAGGTCATCAGCTCAGTGGATACCTGGCTATAGAAAGGGCATGTGCGAAGGTCCTGACTCGGGGTTGGGGGTGTGTGTGTCAAGAAACATGGAAGCTAAGAAATGGAGTGGGAGAGTGTCAAAAAAAGATAGGGCAAGGCCAGGGCCAGGTTGGTAAACAAAATTCCTCAAAAGCAAAATCCATGAGAGAGCCCTCCCTACTGGCATAACAGGTTAAAGCACAACGCTACCAAGCTAGCCAAAGCTGCTCCAAGCCACTTCAACACAGTTCCATCCCCTTCAGGGAGCTGACCCACATGGCAGCGTGGCAGCCCTCTCCTATCTCTCCACTGCTCCCCTCAGCAGTATATTTCAGTAGATCTGCCTGTTCTGCTCCCCACTCTGTCTCTGGTGACTCCTCTCCGCTCCTGCACCTCTGGCCTGCACCCCAGTTCTGTATGCATAAATATATAAATCTTTAAAAAACGAAATCCATGAGAAAGAGGAGGCCCTGAAAACAGCTACCAAAGGTTAGACAGGGCTGCGCAAATTTAGGGGAGGCACATTTAAGGGACTGGGCGCAAGCACCTGCGGGTGGGCAGCCTGGGATCGATTCCTATAGAGGCGTGTGACCTTGACACAGGTTTGAAGTTGCCGCGCCTCAGTTTCTCCTGTAAAATGGGTCACTGTGTTAATGAGTCAATAGCCTTCGTTTAGGGCAGTGCCGGCACAGGGTCCCCCTACCTCTCCCGGACCGTCTCCACTGTGGCGCCCTCTTGCTCTGCCTCCTGGGCTGCGGCGTCGGCTAAGTCTCGGGCCGCGCGGGCCATGTTGACGGCCGTGGGTCGGGCAGTGACGAGGAAGTTTAATTCATCGCGCACGAAGGCCACGAGTGCAGCAAGTCCGGGTCCCCCGGCGCCCGCCTGTAGCTCCACGGCGAGGCTGAGACAACCCACCAGCGCGATGGCCGGGGCACCGCGCACCTGATGGGGAGCGACGGGGGCTGTCAGGGGCGGGAGGCGCTAGAGCTCCGCAAACAGGCCCCGCCGATCCAACGCAAGGCCCCACCTTCATGGCGCGGATGGCCTCCCAGGCCTGGCGCACGGAGACCACCGCCTCGTAGCGGCTCTGCTGGGGCAGCAGGAGTTGGTCGAGGATCTGCAGCGAGCCCCGGGAGTAGCGGATCGCCTCCAGTGTCATAGTGAAATCTCAGAACCTCACCGCTTCTCAAGTGGCGCGAGGCGGCTGCGCGCACGTGGGTGGGGCTGGACTGAGCGGAGGGGGCGTGGCCACAGCGCCGCAGGCGGGGCCTCGCCCGGAAGGAGGCGCGAGCGCTCGCCCGCCTCTCAGGTTCCAGGGATCTGCCTGGTGTTAATTCCCACCCCAGCTCGCTGACCTTGCCTAGCTAAGCGGCCTCCTCGAAAACACAACAGTGGTGCACCTGCTTATGTCAGGCCATTTAATGTACAACAGGACTTCGAAACCCCGGGTAGGCACCCTTAGATGTCTAACTTCTCCAGCGTCCTGTCTGCAACCACCTGTAGGGCAAGGCCTTCATGGTAAAAACACCAAAAGGGCTATTTTTACTGTCCAGAGACCTCCCCATTCCCGGGGGTTTTCAGACCAAAAACCTTGCATGTTCACAACTTTTGAAACGGCTGGGCAGATTACAAATTCAGGTGAACCCTCAGCTCCCAGAAGTCAGCACATCTGCCTTCACTGCAGTCATTTTCTACTGTTTACCAGTTATCTTAAAAAAAAAAATCATGCTGGGTAGAGGCCTTTTCATGGTTCTTCACAGGCATCCCCATGGGCTGGAGATGAATAGCCCATGAGATGCTCCAGTTAATCTGGCACAGCTCCTGGGCACCCCAGGTGGCCACCCACTGTCCAGCCCCCTTTCCATCCTCTACACTAAGCCTGGACAGCCTCCTCTAGGAAGTCTGCCCTGATTGTGGGCCATGTGGCAGCACCACTTTGAAACCCTCAGCACATTGGGTGGAGATTGCAGCTATGCATTTACTGATTTGAAGCTTGCCAAGCTTGGCTGGGTGGTGGGTGGGGTTGTAGCCCCTGGACCCATCTAGTAACCCAACACAGGGGCAAAGAAACTTTAATGTTGGGGACCCCTTCCCGCCAAGGCACAAACACCAAATAAATAAAATTCCATCACTGTGGGGAGGTGAGGTGGGATGGGAACATGGATATGAGGACCAGTCAGTGAGCTGGGCTGTAGTCTGCGAGGGGCCACCTGGGTGTGGCCTCTGGAGCAGGTCCAGTCCTTGGACTGCTCACTCACTCTCTGAGTCAGAGTAGTCAGCCACGAGGGAGGAGCTGAGGCTGCTGGAGTGTGGCATGTCCTGGGAGGAGCTTGGTGTGGACCTGGGTCTGTCCTGACAAGTCACCTCCAACACACTGGTCTTGGAGGTCTTCGCTATCTCTTGAGAACAGTCTTGGGGGGATGCAGGCCTGTCCTGGGTGGTCTCCTCTGGCTGGTCCCCAGACTTGGGGGCCTCAGCCATGTGCTGGGGACTTTCTGAGATGTCCCGGGATCGCCGCCGTACTATGCCCAGGTCTCCAACACTGATAGGGCTGCTAGTGGGTGTGGATTTGCGGGTCTGGGCCAGCTTCTTCAGGATATTCCCAGCTTTGTTGCTGCCACTGCTGCTGGCGCTGGGGCCTTGGTTGGAAGGGAACCAGGAGCGGCTGATAATCTCTGTCCGCTTGAGTTTCTGCTTATCCTCATAGGCTGCAGGGAGGGAGGGAAGAATGGTGCATTTGAGGGAAGGGAGTAAGGAAGGTCTGGAGCCACCCTCTGCCCTGGGACTCATGGCTGGGGGCCCCCCTGCCTGACATGCCAATTCCCACGCACAGTCCAGGGTGTGGAACTTGAGCAGTGCAGCCAGCCGGCGGTCATCCTCTGTTTCAGGCACCAGCGGGATAGCCAGGCTTGCCTTTGCCTGTAGTGCCTGGTCTCTCTCCTCCTCTTCCTGCATGGCCTTTTTCTTTTCCTGTGTGGGGAGAGGGAAGAGGTGATGGGTGTCAAAACACTGCCACTTGATGCCCTGTGAGCATTGTTTCACCTCTCAGGGCCTCAGTTTCCTCCTCTGTCAGCTTGTGCATGGAAAGGGGCTCCCACAGGGCCCGGGACATAAAGACCCTCAGCAAGTGGAGACATGGTTGTTATTAATGCATGTGCTGGTATTCATTTCACAAATGGTAACAGAATGCCCATCTATCCTGTGTCAGGCCTTGTTCTAGACAGGGTACACAGTGGTGAGCAGACAAAAGTCCTTGCCTTTGTGGCACTGATATTCTAGTAGGTGAGAGACATCAAGAGGTAAAGACAAAAGGAATACAGGGAAGGAGGTAGGGGATAGGCAGGGGATTCAATTTTAAATTGGCTTGCAGGAGATGGGTGGGTGAGGGATGGTCTCCCCATGAATGTCCCATTTGAGAAAAGATGTTTGTGGGACCCATGTGGGGGTATAGAGGAAACATGTTCCAAGGCGGAACACAGTGGACCCTGTGGCTATGTGGGTAAGACTGTGTGCAGATGGGAGAGTGGTGAGAGCTGGGGGACCATGCCAGTCCAGGCAGATGATGGGGGTCATGGATGTCGTCAGAACCTGACAGAAATAGGGGAAGAGGAGCAACAAGATGAATCGAGGCCAACACCAGCATCTGGGGCCCTACTGCCGCCTCACTGCTGATGCAGGGGGCTGGGTGAGATACTAGTGGAAGGTCCATGGAATGACTTATTTGAGGGTTCTGATAACCGCATGTGAAATGCCCAGAGGCAGCACACATGTTGCAGGGAACAGGCTTGGAGGCCTATCCTTTCTGAAGAAGCAGCAGGAAAACCAGCACTTTCCCTCAGAATAACCATGGCCACAGAATGATCAGAAAGCCAGGAAGAGGTGGGAGCAGTAGGATGGGGAGGGCTTGGTCCCTTCACCCACGATATCCCTGCCTGGGCTCTCTTTGCAGCATTTCGAGCTGCTCAGAATGAGGGAAGAGGGAGGGAATCTGCATCCTAAAATTCTTTCTAGAGCCTGCTGGATTCCCACAGGGTGAAAACCTCCTGTACATTATGCAGTTGATCCCTGAGAACACGGGCTTCAACCAAGCTGGGATATGGGCTGGTCGACTCCTTGGATGCTGAACACATGGGTAGAGACCGACTATAGGACCTGCACATCTGTGGGTTCTGGTGAGCATATCTGTGGGGGTCCTGAAGATAATCCCTCTTGAATACCAAGGGGTCACTGTAGTTAAGTTTTGGGGAATCAAAAGTTTTATGTAGATATCTGACTGCACGTGGGGGGGTCAATGGCCCTGTGCCCCTAACCAAGGGCCAGATATCTGAAGTGGGACCCCAACTCTCTGTGACGTGGGTCCACCACGTATTTCTGGCACAATTTCGATAGCCATCGTGGTTGCTGACATCGACACCCCAGGATGCCCTGTGCCTTGTGACTTCCGCCCAGGCATCTTGATCATACTGAAACTTGCATTGTTAAGAGTGTGCTAGAAGCGACTTTCCTTTTTTCTTCTATTACAGTCAGGGATGACTGTGGAAATTCTCTGGGGATGGGCTGATGGTCTAGGGATTTTATTTCAGGATAGTATGTTAGGAGCTGGCTTGGAGGTCAAGGCCCTGCTGGGCCTTGTCCTGATACCCAGAGAGGGTTAGGCCTCACCCGTACCCCAGACTGAAGCATTCTTTCTGTTGAAGGATCTGCTGAAAGTCACCCTGGGGGAGGGGGCTGTGTGTTAACAGCATTTGTGCTAGCTGCCTCCCACAGGCACAGTGAGGTACAGATGTGGTCCGCACATGGTAGATGGGAAAACTGAGACTCACAGTGCAAAATGAGGGCTAGACCTGGGTCTTCAGCCAATATGTTCTCCAAGTTCCAATGTGGGACACCTGAGGTGATCCCTGCCTGAGGTGGAGCCCTACTCACCCGGAACCTCTTCCGTAGCATGCTATTGAGGGCAAAATCATCTTTCCAGGCACTCTGGGCCTCCTGGATGTGGCTCAGGGTGGGGAGGGCCTTCTTGAGTGTGCTCCGGTCAGCCTCACCGTGCTCCAGGCGGAACATGGCATCTGTCTCCAGTTTCTGCTTCTTCTCATGCTCTACAGGGGGGAGAGCATGACTGGGCTGGTCCCAGAACAAGGCTGAGGTGAGGCCTGGGGCCTGGGCCACCCATCACACTCACCTGTTGTGAGCACCTGCTCATTGTCCTCCATGTCCCATCGTTCCTCCTTGCGCTGGGCTCCGCTCACAATCACATAGTCACAGTTGGCAGGGTCTGTCTGCATCTCGATGTAGTTGACACAGAGGTGGCATTTCATCCGGAATCTGGGTGGGTAGAGGGTGGTGGGCAGGCATCAGGATACTGCAGCTGTGCCCCATACCTGCCTGCTTCCCTCTATCAAAAACATCACTTGACAAGTGTTAACTGAGCATCCACTAATCTCAGGGGTGCATATGCAGGGGTACAGCTGGGGGCGGGACAGACATGGTCCCATCACCCCAGATCTCACCTTCTAGGAGTATGCTTATTCACTCACTCACTTGTTCATTCATTCAACAAACCCTGTTGAGCTCACTGCAGCTGCCAGGGATATAGCCAAGTAAGTCGACTTGCTCTCGAGAGGCTCACTTTCCAGTGGGCGCCATGTCCATGTGGGCAGCAGGGCACAAACAAGCACGGTGCCTGGCTGGCACTACTTTAGAAAAGACCTCTTAGAAACAATTTATAGAGAAAGCCAAGGAGAGAAAAGGAGCCTTGTAGGTATCTGGGGAACAGTGCGTATTCCAGGTGGAGGGCAAGTGGGAGCACCCCTGGTGCACGTGAAAGATAGTGAGCCTGAGTGGCTAGAGCACAGTGAGAGAGGAAGAGTGCGAGAAGACGAGAGCAGAGCATGTGGGGTCTTGTGGGCTCAGGGGAGGACTAGGTTCTTTCTGTGAGGAAGGTGGCAGTCATGTTCTAGGCAGAGAGTATGCCTTCACTGCTAGACCAGGGTGGTTTCGAGGAGGGGCTAGAGGTATGGCCATTAGGGCTAGGGCATGGGCTTCCTTCCTCCTCATTCCTCTGCAGCCCCTCATCCTGTGACCACCCCCTGTGTTCCTCTGAGATGCTTGCCAGGCTGTCCCTCCCTACCTGTAGATTGGAGTCGTGTAGTAATTGCCAACCTTCTTCTTTTCTGCATTGTAGCGGACACCTGGGAGGAGAGAGGGAAAGAGTAGAGGCTGGGGCTTAAGCTCTTTTCTGGTGGGGGAAGGTAGGGAGGTACTCTGATTCTCTGCAGAGACACTTCAGGAGAACACTGGAATTCAAAGTGGGAGAGAGCCCTGTCCAGTCTGAGAATCAGGTGCCAAGCCATGGAAGAGCATGGGCAGAGCCTGGTTTCAACCCTGGCTCAGTGTCTCATCTATTCAATACAGTGGCGATAATGCCTGCTTCACAGGCTGCTGGGAGAAAGGTGCTAGCCACACACACGGGCCCTCAGAATCGGCCTGATGCTCAGCAAGCATTCAGGAAGAGCTTGGCTTTGATTATTTTTCTGGAGACTGTCTTATATTTGTTTTGCATTGTCAGATGTTATATTTTCTTGACTCTGACTTTGCTTATTGGATGAAAAGTTTAAACTAGAAAGACAGAGCTCGGGTAGTGGGTTATGCGGTCTGCTTAGGTCTTCTTTTCCTGGGGGGCTGCTTGTATTCATGGCCCTGAAGATGACCCATGAGTGGTGTCCCCTGAGAACCCGGTGGCCTTTGGGACAGATGCCCTTCGCTAGGTCTAATCAGGGAGACATGCTGAGGGCTCACACATCCTCAGCAATGAGATGGCCCGGCCCTTCCTTCTGTGATGGAGGATCCCTGTATTGGAGAGGAGACAGAAGCCAGGGGGTTCAGCTACCTGCCTGCCATGTCCTGGCTGAGTTGTGGAGGGGACCTGTGTTTGTCTGTCCATTTGTGCATCTGTGTCAGGGTCAGGATTTTGAAGGCTAAAGGTAACAGCGAGAGCAGCAGCACTTTGAGCTTCTGAAGCCTCCCACACACCATATGCTGTACACCCAGCAATTTACATGACGCACAGGTGGGCACTGGTAATGTCTGAGTTTTATAGGTAGTAAACTGAGGCACAAAGAGGTTCAGTCTCATGCCCAGGGTTATCCACCCAACAGGTGGCAGAGACGGGACTTGAACCCAGAGTCCAACCTCTTACCCGCCTAATGGGCACTGAGGAGTACACAGTCCAGTCACGCGAGCTCCTGTCCTCTCCCTGCGGAGATGGCGTCTCCTGGTCCTCAGCAGCTACTAAGGGGTTTACCATCTGAGTGGGGTGGAGGCGGGGGAGGGGCAGGTGGAGGCTCACCCATTCCGATGTGGTTCTTGCAGCCATCACACCAGATGTTATACGGCATCTCGAATCTACACAACAGCAACAGCGTACTGTCAGGCCCCCTTATTTGCAGATTTGCTTTCTGTAGTTTCAGTTACCTGTGGCCAACTGTGTTCTGAATCAATATTCCATACAGTAAAAAATTTTGAGACCAAGAGCATGTAGCTTTTATTACAGTATAATGTTAGAATTACATTTTGTTATTATCGTTAATCTCTTACTGTGCCAAATTTATAAATTAAATGTAACCACAGGCATGCACGTGTAGGCAGAAATACAGTCACTGGCTATTAAAGGGATACGCTGTGAGAAATGCAGTTAGGTGACTTCGTCTTTGTGCAAGCAAATGTCACAGAGCGTCATGATGCACAGCTAGGCCAGAGGATACCGCCTACTGGCACCACTACTATTGGGCACTGGGACCTCGTGACCATGTCATCAACTGACAAAGGACAATGTAGGGTTTGGGGTTATCCTTAGTTTCAGGCATCCTGTGGACATCTTAGAACATACCCCTCAAGATAAGGGGGGAATACTGTCTTTGTGCCTTCCAAAAATACAGTGTGCCCCATGGGCCTCTATGTCTGGTCGCCATCACTCTGCAAAAGGTAAGCACGAGGGGAAGGTTGGTGGTGTTCTGCCAGGTCAGCCTATTTTGCTGCTCTCTGGCTGGCTGGCCTGGCCATGCATTTCATGTCTCACTATCAGCTAAAGAAACTTGGGAGTAGAAGTGGAAGCAGACTGGGGTGCAGACTCAAGTCAAGTTGCTATACTCTCATTTGGTTTCTTTTCCACAGTTCTGTGACCTTCTATTGACAGTAGTGACAGTACTTCCTTTTAGAACAAAAACCCTTATAATAAAACACATGAAAGCTGTTGTAGGAAAAGGTAAGGGCTCAGCAAACAAGTGGAGACGGGTGTGAATGTGGTCTGAGGTGGGTGAGCCTGGCTGCTCCAGAGTATGGAGGTGTGGTGGGCGTTTTGAAGAGTTCTTCAGCCTTGTCCCCTGAGACCACTCATGTCTTGGCTCTTTTTTCACAGACATTCCAACTCTGTCATTGGATCTTCTGCTCATGCCCAGAGTAGACCCTGACTGAGGTCAGATTCCATGCGGTAGAGAAAGCAGCAGCAGGGAGCTCACAGCTGGGTCACCACTCCTGCCAGGGATGACACGGAGGCGCATGCCCTGGGGAGGACCACTGGCTCTGTTGCTGTGGTGGCTGTGATCCCTAGTCGTCCCCAATCTGTGCACTTCGCAATGGCATCTGCGGCACATTCTGCTGAGTGGTGGCAGCACTGCCTTGCCCCTTGCATCCTGACGGGCTTCAGGCAACTAATGAGCCAGAAGGGATAAGCGCCAGTTTTAGGGGTTCAGCCTCAGGAGTTCTTGCACACCTCTGCTCACTCTCTTTGGAAGTGTTATGTGAACAATCTCAACCTAGCCGGACAGAGGAGGAGCCACGTGTGGTACCCAGGTCAGCAGAGAATGTCCAATCAGTGTCTGCTGCCCTGGCCAGCAGACGCACACAGGAGTAATCCACGCCTGTTGTTTAGTGACAAGGCAATGGCTTACTGATTCTGCTTTTCAGGATTAAGATGCTGTAGCACAGGGCCTCCCTGGTGGCACAGGGGCTAAAGACAGCGTTATTAAACTACCCACAGCCACCACAGCCTGAGTTCCATCCCTGACCAGTGAGCTGATTCACATGGCGTGGCAGACCTCCCCTGTCTCACCCGCTGCTCCCCTCAGCAGTATATTTCAGTAGATCTGCCTGTTCTGCTCTTCACTCTGTCTTTGGTGAAACTTCTCACTTCTAACTCCCACACTTTTGGGCTACACCCCAGCTCTTAGATGCATAAATAAGTAAGTTAAAAATAAAAAAGATCCTGTAGCACTGGGCAAGTTGGGGTGCTGAATTCTCCTGGTGATTGACGCCAGATGGCACAAAGGGCAAGGATCCTGGGTGAGGGCAGGGAACTTACCTGATGATGAGGATACCCTGGGACAGCTTTCGAGCTCGCTCCCGAAGCGGGTGGCTGTTGTGGTATCGGTTGAGAGAGCCATGCTATACAGAAAGGGTGAGGGAGCAGGTTAGTGCTGCTGAGCTTGGGGAGCACCTGCTTGCTCACAGGCTGAGAGTGACATCTCATGTCCTGCTGGGGGTATTAACAAAAAAGGTGGTGTGGAGCAAGAGGGGCTGGAATCAGGAATAAGAGCTGTGTGACCTCACCTTCTGCCCTCCCAAACTCTGCTTTCTCCTTGCAGTGACCTTGATTACTCTCTAGGTGCTGTGGAGAGACCCACAGAGATGACAACACTGGCAAATGCTCACCGGGTACTTTATGAGCACCACTTCCTTTTAAGCCCTTGCTGATTCTGTGAGGTTGGGTCATTTTACTGCCCCTTTTTGACAAGTGGGAATCTGGGGCACAGAATCTGAATCATGTGTCTGGGACTATGAGGCCAGGATGTACTGACTGGCTCACGGGATCCTTATCGAGCACCTATGCTTGGGGCCAGGGCCAACGGCGAGACATAAATATTCCTGCTCTTGTGCACTGGACATTCTAGAGGAGGAGATGGACAATAACTCCTGATGGAAAATCTATCAGGGAGTTATAAGGACCATGAAGAGAAATAAAGCATCTCTATAGGTAGAGAGCTGGTCTCAGTAGGTAGAAGAGCTACTGGTAAGGGAGGCACTGTGAGGAGAGACCTGAAGGAAGGGAAGGGGCCATGATCTAAAGGAGGAAAGGCTTCCAAGCAGAGGGAACAAGTGAATGAATCTTGTCCTTAGACTTTTTATCCTGAACCTATTTTCCTGGGTTTTGTCCCTCAGTCTTTACTCCTGAACTTTCTTTTGAGACTTGTCTCCTGAAATTACTCCTCCAAGCCTTGACCCCTGAATCATCTCTCCTGACCCTTTTCCCCTGAGCTTTCTTGTATGAGGAGGCCAGAGGGACTGTAGCTGGGAGGTGAGGGGGGTCTAATCAGAGCCCATGCGCAGAATATTCTACACCATGCTGGGCATTGAGCAAATGGTCACAATGGGAGCCGCAGTTACCACTGGGGGTGGACACTGTCTTGAGACTCGGGCATAAAGACATGACACAGATTCCTGAAGCCAAGGCTCTGACTCTAGGTAGGGATGAAGTGCTATGTGGGTCCTGCCCCTGGGGCCACATTACTATGGTGGATGAGAGGGGAGTCTGTACCCTTACCTTTGCCGGGTTGAAGTCCGGAGGGTAGTATTTGTTCACGCCTTTCCTTTCCCCCTGGAAGTGGAAGAGACATGCAACTCAGACAGGGTCCCAAGGGAGACACACTTGGCCTCCTGGGGAGCACTGGGGGACATTGCAGAAGACAGTCCTGGGCCCCATGTCTGATCCAAGACTGGTGGTTTGGGAGAAAAATCCAGTGTCCCCATGGAAAATTCTGTTGAGGGTCAGACACTCCTAGGCAATGGCTTTCATAGGTTTTTGGATCATGAATTAACGGTCCAGTTGCAACTTAACATCACAACTGCCCACATACAGGTGATACACACGTGCCACAGCTAGAGCATAGGTTTCAAGGAAGAATGTCTCTTTTTCAATGCCAGCAGCCATCTGCTGAGTTAACTTAATGATCCCCTGGAGCAGTGGGCTGCAAACTTGGCTGTACTTTACAACCACCTTGGGAGTTTCTCAAATACTGATGCCTAGGCCCCACGCCCACCTCCTGAGAAGAGTGCCTGCCCTGATGTGTGGCACCTGGACACTGGAATTGTAAAAAGCAACTCCCAAAACACAGCTTTTAACAGATCCTTGTACACAGAGGTTCACAGTAGAGCTAGTAACAATAACCAAGAAGTTGAAACCCAAATGGCCATCAAACTATGAATGGATAAATTGTGATCCATCTATATGCTGGAATATTATTCAGCTGTAAGAAAGAATAAAGCTCTGATAACATGTTACAACATAGGTGAACATTGATAACATTATGTTAAGTGAAAGAAGCCAGGCACATTAAGTGAAAGAAGCAGTGATTCCCTTTATGTAAAATGTACAGAACAGGTTATCAATGGAGACAGTAAGTAAATTGGTTGCTAAGGGATTGTGGGAAGTGGGGGAGTGACTGGTCATGGGCTTTCCTTTTGGGGTGATGAATTGCTTTGGAACAAGACAGTGGTGGTGGCTGCACACCACTGTGAATGTGCTAAATGGTGCACTTTAAAAAGGTTCATTTTATGTATGTGAATTTCACCTCCTTAAAAAAATTAGAAAAAAGAAACCTCTAATCATATATAATGCTGTGAACCAATGTTACCTCAAAAAAAAAAAAAAAAAAGTTAACTAAAAGAAAATGAAAAAGCTCTGGGTGATTTTAGCACCCAGCAAAGTTTGAGAACCACCGCATTGAAAGCTCATGACTGAGTTGGAAAACATCATCTTAGAGCTTGGGATAGGGGACTTCAGAGGAAGGACAACCTGCTTGTGCGGAGCCCATAAAGACCAGAAGAAAAACCCAGTGAGCCTGAGTCAGTCCACTCACCATCCTGAGAGCTGCCTAGTGATCCTTGCCCTCAGCACGGCCAACCTGAAAGGAAAAGACACCGATTATGGGGCTCTGACCCACTGCCCAGGCCCACTCTCCTGGGGAATCTGGCAGAGGGGCTGTTGTTGCCCTGCGAATATGCTGCGGACTGTGTGAGTTCAGATAATCCCCCAGGCTAGGAGGCACCCAACAAGAGGCATGTTTGTTTTCAAAGAGTGACCTGTCCGCTCTTCACCCAACACATTTCCTATATGCCACTTCTCCCAGCTTCCGTCATCACTCACCTGGCCCAGTGCTGTTGCTTGCTTCCTGGTCTTCTGCTCTGCACTTGACCCTGGAGTCTGTTCTCCCCACAAGGGCCAGGTAGATTTCTTAAAACAGAAATCTGAATAGATATCAAACACCTCCAATTGATTGCCACTGCTTTGAGAATTGAGTCAAATTCCTCCCCAGGGCTGTGGGGCCCCTGTCTGCCTCTCCACATTTACCTTTCTTTTTGGTTCATCCACCAGCTGTCTGTTCTGAGTTGCAGGTCTCAATTTAGACATCACCTCTGTCTGAGGTCTCATTTGGTCGGGCATTCCTTGCTGGGTCCCCACCATATCATCTTGCTTTTACTTATTATCTAGTCTGTCCGTTATTCCCAGTCAGACCACACTGTTATCTCTAGCACCTAGGGTAGTACCTGACCCAATACATGATGCACAAACCACACATAGCTGATTGAGAACTGATCCAGAAGAAATCATTGTGAATGACAGAGGGAGGGGCTCCCTCTGTAAACTGGGTGGTAGGAAGATCCCCTTCCCCTGCATGTTTGAAAGAAAGACTTTTAGTTCATATAGAAAGAAGTTCTACTTTAGAATGGGGATTGGCAAATTTTCTCCACCAATGGTCACTGATTAAATATTTCTGGCTTTTCGGGTTAGTGTCTCTGTCCCAGACTCCATTCTGCTGGTAAAATTAGGAAGCACTCAGGTATAATATGTAAATAGAATGTGTGGCTGCATTCCAGTAAAACTTTACTTATTTAGAATCTCACATCATTATCACCTATCAAAAAATATTCTTTTGATGTTTTCCCCCAACCACTTAAGAATTTAAAACCATTCTTAGCTGGCATACTGGAGAAAATGAGTTATTTGGTTGGGTTTGTCCTGTGGGTATTGTCTGCTGGCTCCCTGAGTTAAAATAAGGAAGTTTCTGCTAACTTATTGTGTGGCAGGCACTGAGTTGAATCTGACATTACTGTTTCATTTACTCTGCATTGCTATCACCTCCAGATGTGAACAAGGACATGGGGGTTTCAGTTAGCTTCCCAGGGTCAGTAGCTGTTGTGAAGGCCAGCAAGGGTGCAAATTCTTGCATGTACACTTTTCCATCATGGCCCTGAACTTCTTTCTACCTTAGGTCCTCTATCTTTGAAGTATCCACCTAAACCAGACTTTTCTTTTAAAATTATTTAACAGTTTGTTTTTATATTATTTTGTGCCTTTTTCCATTTCAGTAGTAATCCCCCTGGGCTTCTTCCCATCACCAAAACACCCGTGTGCCATTGCCATAGTCCAGTGCACTTCCCTCCCCCACCGTTTTTGATCCCATTCCCCACTCCACCCCTATAAAATGTCTCTGGTATATAGTTGTTTGTTATTATTATTTTCTCCCCTGTGGACCAGGTTGTTTTGAGGTGACTTCCAACTTAGAATTGCTTTTTCAGACAAGCTAGCCAAGTGCTTACCCAGGCTTTGGAACACAGCTCCTGGCTTGAACCCCAGTTCTACTTGTTACTGGGTGACCTCGACACTGTCTGGGCTTCCCTGAACTTTTATTTCTTCACCTGTAAACAAGGGATGAAGACAACAGGATTGACTTTCTGGGGTTTCTGCGAATGAAGTAACAGTAGAAAGTGCTTGCACTAAGTACTTGGTTTGTATAAGTTTGGGGGTCCTACTATGATTTACCCAATCAGTAAATGTCACAGGTGGGATTACAGGGAGGCTGTATCATCTCTGGTTCTAGTTGGTATGAATGATTACAGATTGCAGTGTCCAGGACAAATGGCTGGGACATAGATCCTGTTAGCTGCATGACTTTGGACAAATTGCTTACTTTCTCTAAGCTTTAGTTTCCTCATCTATAAAACAGGGTTTTATAGATGACGAGATAAGCTCACTGTCAAGATTCAGTGAACTCAAGTTCTTAAAACAACACCCAATAATGAGTTAAAATGCTGGTGGTTTTATTTCTCGCGTCCACCGTTTTACAAGCATTCTTTTACAAAACCTTTACCATGACCCACTGAGGCTGGGGGCTTACTGGCCCCATTTTCCTGATGCGGTAAACCCAGAGGTCCTTTACACATAATATGGGCCGGGGCTGGTGCTGCTGGCGGGGCCGGGAATTTGGATCGGAGGTCATGACTGGGACCCAAACAGGCCCTGGGCTCGCGTTCGTAAAGTCCTGCGTTCCCCAGAATGCTCACTCGGGTCAGCAGCTCCTAGGCCATTTGAGGCAGCGGCCAGC